AACAACTTAACAAGTTATTGTGAAGCCTGGATTACGACCATATAGCAATACAAGACACCATGAAGCCTGGACTCGACCAGATAATGGTATAAGACGTTGTGAAGCCTGGATTACGACCAAATAGCAGCCAAGAATACTGAAGCCTGAATTACGACCAGATAACAGTAAGGGACATTGTGAAGCTTGGATTTCGACCAAATAGCAGTCTACCCGGCCAATTACTATGAAGCCCGGAAATCGATCGGATATTAGTAGGTCTAAAAATCAAATGGAAGCTCGGATGCGACTGGATAACCACTTGATTTCTTCTTAAGCCTGGAATACGACCAGATAAGAAGTAAGGTATTATGAAGCCTGGAATCGACCAAATAGCAGTACAGGACACCATGAAGCCTGGATTCGACCAGATAATGGTACGAAACATCGTGAAGTCTGGATTACGACCAGATAGCGGTAAAGGACACTGAAGCCTGGAATCGACTAGATAACAGTATAAGACATTGTGAAGCTTGGATTTCGAACAAATAGCAGTTTACTTGGACATTTACTAAGAAGCCCGGAATCGACCGGATATTAGTGCGCCCTAAATTCAAGTTGAAGCCCGGATGCGACCAGATAATAAATTTTTGAAGCCTGGATTACGACCAAATAAGAATTGAGAAATTGTGAAACCTGGATTACGATCGGATAGCAAGTTTAATCTCATCTCCCCAGTAAGTCACTGTAAAGCCCGGAGCACGACCAGATAGCAGTCGATCTTATCACTATGAAGCCTGGATCACGACCAGATAGTAGTTCATTTCACCTCTTCAACCAAGAGAAAATTCCCCAGTAAAATAACGGACGACCGAAGCTCCTAAAATTCAAATTTTACCAAGACAGAGACCAACATTCCCCAGCGTAGTCTTCCTCAATAACAGGTATACAAGCTCTCACAAAGGAATCTCTTATGAGATCGACACTCATTCGGATGGAATCTTTAAGCCCATCCTCCATCACCAATCTCCAAATGGAATCTATAAGGCCATTCCCGACATCATAAGAAAAGTACCACTTCATGCGAGTGCAAATTTCTAGGCACTCTAGTGTTCAATCATCTTCCACCTTCGGATCACGAAAGGCAAGCAAGCCAATCTACATCCTCAGGTTTAAGAAGATTGAACAGGGCCAGCTATTGTACCCCAAAATTTTCCCTCCCATATTTCTCAATACATTTCAAGTGAGATCCTCAAATTGCTCAAGGAAGTCCAAGGGTTCACCAGACAAACTCTCTCCTAAGGCAGTCTACCTCAAATTAGGGTTTTACTTTGCATCAAGATACTTGAGTCCAAGGGATCCCAAATGCTCACCATTGTCCTAATATAATCTCAAGATCATCCATGTCAAGTTTCAAGCCCTACAAAGGAAGTTTGCTCAGTCAATTGCTCAAAGGCCTGAAAATCGACTATGCTAGGGCAAAAGTCAACTGTGGCCCACATGCAGTCAAACTTCAAGATTTTTGGTCAACATCCTCATTTGGAAGTATTATTCATCATTTGATCAAGGGTTGATCATGATTCCTCAAGGATTTCTCACAATTCATCAAAACCCAAAAGTTGCTAAATTAGGGTTTTGCAGGAAAAGTCAACTCAATTTTGACCAAGCATAACTTTCTCATACTTTATCAAGAATGACCCATCCAAAGATCATTTTGAAGAGGATTCAATTCCCTACAATTCATCATCATCTCCCAAGTTCAAAATATGTACTCACAAGAAGTTATGAATTTGGACATTATATGTCACTTTGAGAAGTCAACAAAACACCTTTTTTGTCAAAGCTTAATACATGAACATGGAAGATTCAATTGAGATGAGACTAAAAGGGTTGCTTAGAGGACATCTTGAGCTTTCTAAAAAGTCTAAGAACACATCTCTAGGATCAAAATTGAAGGAGTTATGCATTAGTGAAGTTGACCTTTTTTTACAAAATTGCCAAAAGTCAAAAGTGGCCAAAATTGCAATTTTTGTCAAATGGGCCTAACTTTTTGTGCTTGTATTAAGTTGGTAACATGGTCCACGACCCATGATCCTTCCCACTAGCCTTTTTTTATTTATTTTTTTCATTTATTTTGATTTTTATTTCAATTAAATCAAATTAAATTAAAATAAAATCATGAAAATATCAAAATCATTTAAACCTTAAGATTTTGTGCATATTTCAGGTCCATGAATAGCTGGCAATGAGATCAAATCGTGCAAGGCTTGTTTGTAAACAAAAGATTGGATTTTAGCTTGATTTGGAAAGATTTACATGAGAGTCAAATCATGATCAATGATCATTATTGGAGAAGATTTGAAACAAATTTGTAAACCTAATTCACTCAAGGGTACATATAGAACAAATCCAGACCAAAAGTATAGGGGGTTGGAGGCGTGAGAGAGCATAATCAGATTCAAAAAAATTATTAAAAAGTGTGAAATCATTCTTGCAGTTGGAGGGAAATCCAGGCCATTCCAAGGCCACCATTCGCATTCTGGACCTTCTCTGAAGCAGATACGATCATTTGCAAGCATCTATAAGGCCAGAAACTCGAACCACAGACCCACGGTTTCCCCTTCAAACTCAAAATCCATTATTGTGCAGCATTAGCATGTTTCAATGACATGTATGTGTTTGTTAATGTATTTGCAATGTTTTGGTTATACTCAATTGAATTTTTGACGCACGTACTGAGATCCACCATTGCTAGGGTTTTCTTGCTTGTTTTAGGGTTTTCTCATGCAGGTAAAATTGGCTCAAAAGAGGGGTACCATGGTGCTCACAAGGCCAAGACGAACTGATCTGTACCATTAGTTTTCATTTAGGATGCTTGTGTGAGATTTTGGAGAAACGCAGGCTTATACCTATGCCCAGAAAATCGTAGGTAAAAGTCTTGGACTTTTGCCAACGGAGAGAGGAAGAAGAAGGGTGGCGTGGCACCCCCTGGCTGGTCCATTCAAACTTCGTGCGCTTTTGGATCCATTATCTCATTTTCCATTATATTAATTGTTGTTTATTTCAGAAACAAAAGAACCAGCCAGCTCAGCTGGCTAGCACGCTATGGCCAGATGCTAAAGGGCCTGGGTTTGATCCCCAGGCCCCCTTGTTTCTTCGATATTATTTTTCTATGCATATTTCCATGCGCAGGTTTCCAGGACATCCACCATACATCCTCAATGATCAGCCAACCAGATGTCCAACAAGTCAAATCCAATGCCTGACACATGAAGGTCTACCATAGGCCTAGTCAAACGTACAACATGGAATTAGAAAGGTCAACGTGGACCAAGGCGTTTTGGGCTTACTGACACCCCCCATTTACTTTTGATACCAAACCCATTTCTCTCTTTTCTTCTATATTTCTTTTATTTCTTTTATTTTGTTTAAATTATTTTCTCACACAAATTTAATTCTTTTTTTCATATAAAAAATTCATAAAAATCAATTTTCACCAAATTAGAATTTAGGTTTGTTTATTTATTTTGTCAAAATTAATTTAGTATTAGTTTAATTTAAATTTAGGGTAATTTTAATTTTTTTGTAAATAAATTAAAACAAATTAGAAAATTAGATTTTATTTGATTTAATTTTTTTACTTTCTTTTCTTAAAATAACCAAAAATGCAAAATAGGTCAAAATTAATTATTTTTCTTAATTTAAAATTAATTAGTAATTATGTTTGTATTTATCTAATTAAAGCCTTATTTTTCTCAAAAAATAATCAAAAACCACAAAAAATGATTTTTCTTTCAATTAGGTTTAGACGGGGTCAAAACCCTAATTTTTTCTCGTTGTCGTTTCATCGCGCGCGTTTATTTATTTTTACGATATTAATGTAACTACTCATGGGATGTAATAGTTTAATTAAGATTTCTCTTTTATTTATCGTTTTACGGGTTTTGGCTATGTAATTAATCCCCTCCCCGAAGCCTTGTAATAGTGTAGTTTTATTTTTCACATTTTAATTTTCGCAAATATTAACTGTTAGATGTATGATAATAGAATTGCATGACAAGAATGTATGTTAATTTTAAAACGGTTAGCAAACCCTAAATGTGCAAAGATAATAACTGAAATCAAATCACTCGCACATGCGCACTCCTAGGATATACTCTCACTTCGGTTGCATTTGGTAAACGGTCATTAAGTATAGGGTGTTTTAGTGGTCGCTCTTTTGTCTAAACAAAGATCAAATGCCCCGTTCGGAAATGTTGCCTCGGAAAGGTTGTCTCGGAAATGTTATCTCGAATATGATCTTAAGACATTAGGGTTATTACTAAGACGTCCTAATATTGCTTTAGTGATCGTACGTCCCTTTCGAATTGACCCTTACAACTCCAACGACGGTGCTTCCTATTTCTCAAATAAGTAGGATAACGCTGTCTAAAGGAAACGAGAACATAAACATTCTTTTTTCGAGTAGGTAGATGCTAGTAGGTACTTGCTTAAAATCAAACCTTTCCACACTTACACTTTTTTCAAACAAAGTTTCCAAAACACTTCGTAACACTCTTGAAGACAGAAGCAAGGGTTAAAACAAAGTAAAACAAAACTTTTCAAAACAAAGCACACCCAAAAGCAATTTTAAAAGATGAGCAAGTACCTAAGAGTCCATGGAAAACCATGGATAGAAAGGGTGCTAACACCTTCTCATTCTATAATCTACCCACCGTACTCAGAAAATCTCGAAAAAGGAATTTTTCTGTGCTTTTTTTCTTTCTAGTTGGATAAAATAAAAATCGGTGGCGACTCTTGCTTATCGCGACATTTTACGAACACAAACACAAAACACAAACCAGCATTTTCCTAAAATAGTCCGGTTCTGCCACCGTATCACACAACTATATTAAAAGAAAGTTTCTTATTTTAACAATAATATAAATAAAACTCATCTTAATTATTATATTGTATAAATGTATGGCTAAAATAAGAAGGGTAAACGCGGTAAATAAATACTTGTAAGTTGTACAAAGAAGAAAATGACAGGATTCGGATTCAAACCTTCCGTTAGCACGTCTATCTATTTGGCGTTGTACGGATATAACAGAGTGAGAGAAAATGAGATTTGAACAACAACTGCGTTGATAATAAATCAACAACGTGGTTTGGTGGCACATAGAAAAAAAAAAGTAAAAAGAAAAAACGAAATCAAATACAGTTTCTAGGGTTTCCATTATTCATTCTTCCCTCCAAACACCCGCTCCCAACAAAGCGGGTTCACCCCTTCTTCTCCATTTTCGTTAACCACAAGGTTTTTTTCTTTCTTTCTTTTTCTTCCCTTTTTCATTTTAATTTCTTACCTTTTTTTTTTTTAATTTCTTACCTGAAGCAACAATTCTCAATTTCAATTTCTGTTACTTTTTTTATAATTATTTTGAGGTTATTAATTTGTTATTATTTATTTATTAACAGAAATGTGTTCATTTGGTTGATAAAAGGGGGTGAATATAGCACGGAGGGAGGTACGACTTCAATTCAAATTCAAATTCAAACAGTTAAACCATTTCAGATTCTCTGTGTTCATTTTTGTTAATGATTCAAAAGTGAATGCATTGTTGTATTAAATGGATTCGGAATCTTCGAATGATTCTTTAAATACAAAGACGTGCAAATGTCGTTATTGTAATTGCGAATGTGGTTGCTCGGAGATTTCCACGAATTGGATTCGTAAGGTGAAACGGAAACATGACGAGATGGAGAAGGCGAGAAAGGTGAATGGTGGTGGTGGGGATGGCGTTGTTCGCGTTGAAATTGAGGATGAATGTATTGCGTTACGAGAGGCTGTTAGTAGTCAGCAGAAAGCGATTCAGGATTTGTATTCTGAATTGGAGGAGGAGAGGAATGCTGCTTCGTCTGCGGCAAATGAAACGATGTCGATGATATTGAGGTTGCAGACGGAGAAGGCGGAGCTTGAGATGGAAGCGAGGCAGTTTAAGCGTTTTGTTGAGGAGAGGACGTGTCATGATCAGCAGGAGCTTTTGGCTTTGGAGGATTTGTTGTATAAAAGGGAACAGGCGATTCATTCGCTTACTTGCGAAGTTCAGGCTTATAAGCATAGGTTGATGAGTTATGGGTTGACTGAGGCGGAGGTGGAAGGTGATTGCGAGTTTCCGCCTTATGAGTATCCTCCTTTGAAATGTAATGTAATGCATGCTGTTGGGGATGTTGATAATGATGATGTTTTTGATGTTGATGTTGAGAAGTATGCGTTTGGGGAAACTCCGAGGGATCGTTTGAGGAGCTTGGAGAATAGGATATCTCAGATGGAGAGAACTCCGACTTATAGTCAAATGGATGGGGATTTTAATACGAAGAATGTTATAGAGAAGGTGATTGTTGGACACTCTCCTAGAAGGAATAAACATTCGAGGAAATTTTCATGTGACTCGTCTTCATTTGGCCCTGAGTTTGTGTTGGATTCTCCGAGGATCAATGGTAGCTTTAGGAAGACTGATTATAACGGGTCAGAGGATTTCTCCAATACTAAGAAGGTGGATAATGTGTCTGAGGTTGGTGATAATACGACTGATAGAGTTTACACTGTTGACTCTGAATTCAAAGGGGGAGTTGGTGGTTATGATGAGTATTCAACAACTCCAAGGGAGTTTGGAAATCAGAGTGATTTTGAAGATCCATATGTGAAGAAGCTTTACATGAGGCTTCAAGCACTTGAGGCAGATAGGGAATCAATGAGGCAGGCCATCATTTCGATGCGTACCGATAAAGCACAGCTTGTTTTGCTCAAGGAAATAGCTCAACATCTGTGCAAAGAGATGTCAGACCAGAGGAGAGTGACGACCGTAAGAACCTTTGTTGGCGGCTTCTCGTTCTTCACAGTTTTTAAGGTAATTCAAAAGCAAATGGTGTATGCCGAGTCTATCTTATGAGATCTAGTAGACTTGTATACTGTTTAGTTTGCCCATTTTTTATTCAAGGTTCCATAGAGATGATCGTTATTTGTTTCAGTCATCTTATGATATAATATTTAAAGGACATCACTTATTCAGTTTTGTCTTACTTTTGTGTACAGTGGGTGGCTTCAATTGTTTTCTGGAGAAAGAGAGGTCATCAAATCAAGTAAGTAGTCTGCAAAATCAAGCATTATTTTAATATTCTCACAACCACCTTTGCCAGAAATCATTTTTAAAGAAAACAATAGCTTAGAATTCAAACAGCTTCTACTCATAATGCATACCATGCTAGTTTATCACTTGCAGCAATGCCATTATTAGCAATGGTTACTTAGTTTCAGGGGAAGATAATTTATTAATTTCAATGCTAGAACTTTTCGGTTCTCTGAAAAATTGTGACAGCTTATTAAGTGTATGTTTGCTCTACTGATGAAAAATTGTGCCAGCTTATTAAGTGTATGTTTGCTCTACGGATGAAAACAGACACAATATCTATATAATCCACTGTCCTCTCTCAACGAACATTTTATTTAAATAACAAAGTTATTGTGATTAAATTTCTTAAACTGACTGTAGAGGGTACAATAATTGTTTATATTAACGTGAGAAAAAAAAAGAGATTAAGTGGTTATAAAGTAACATTAAATTAGTATTGACAAAAATACTGAAATTGGTTGAACTCCTTGTGATTGTAGGTATATGTTTGGGCTGCCATCTAGCGACGCCGGCTTGCTAATGCTGCTTGACAAAGGTCCCCAGCTAAGGTCGTGGAGATATGTTTCAAGAGCCGAAACAGGAGAATAGTTTACATGCTGTGATCATACGACAGAGCATCAAATGAATCTTCATCACACTATGCTACGTTTTTTTATTTCTTTTCTCCATAGATTCTTCTCAGTAGGAGTGATGTTTTGTGACGTGTTTTCTGTTGTATGAAATTGAATGTAATATTGTAATTTGTTGTTGACTGGTGAAACATGGATGTGAATTGGCATTTGAGAATCGTCTCTTGCATGCTTTGTAGTAGAGAAAGTATATATATACCTTTAAATAGACCTATCTTGTACATGATCTATCCTAAATGTCCTTATTCCTTACAGTATATTCTTTTTGTGTCAAGTTCAATTATAGAAAGTGACAGCGTTGTTTGTTTTTTTCTTGACCACCATGACAGCGTTGTTTGTTGAGTCAATGAATTTGCATCTGTTTGTACCTAGACCTATTTTTTTGAGACTTAGTTTGTTCGAAGAGTTACGGAACTTGTTGAACACATGAAATATTTTTCTCGATTCTTATGAATTTAAATTCTCACCTCCCGTTCTCATCTTCGACTTTTGTTCTCCCTCGTACTTGTTCTCATTCTCATTTGCTAGGATGATCAGTACAAAAACAAGATTGATCGATCCAACAAAAATCTTAACTATTTATAACTCAGAACTACCAAGTCACTTATCAACAAGATCTATTAGTGATGATGGTGTTTTTTGAAAGTAGCTCAAGGACTACTAAGAACTACTACTAACTACAAAAACAAGTTTTTGGAAGGAGCTCAAGGAGCGTGGCTATCGAGTTTTTTTTCTTTCTAATTCCACATTTTTTAAGGGATTTAGGGATTAACAAAGGTTGAATGATATTGGTGATGATGGTGTTTTTTGGGTTTGTGATATTTATGGAGATGGTGGTTGAGGAAAAATAGAGAAGGAAGTAATGAATCAAGTGCTTACGCATTACACCATTTTAATCCCGAATGTGATTAATGATGATGGATGTGTAGATGATGATTACGGTGATGGTGTTAATATATGAGATTTTTTTTTTTATCATACTACCACACTTTTCCAATTTTATTTTTAAAATACCATCATTTTCCTCATAATTTTTAAACTATTACAGTATCTTTTTCATAACAATAATACTATTTTGAAGAGGCCCCTCTAATTGAATTGGCGGGTTTTCTAATTTTATTTTATTTAGTTATATTTTATTTTTCTATGGATATTCATTTCTACAATTTTTTTTATTTTAATAAAATTCATATTTTTTAAAAATTGCGTCTTTAAAAAATTTTGTAGAAAAAATTTACCGCAAAAAATTTGCAAAAAAAGAAGAAGAAGAAGGACCCGCATATTCAATTGGTGGGTGGAATTAACACTTCAAAAAGGACCCTCAATTACATTGGGCAAATATATTTGAAACAAAGAAAATATTTGAAAATATGGTAGTTTGAGATTTAATTTAAAAATAGTAGTATGGAAATAAAGAGGGAAAATGTGACATAGGAAAAATTTTTGAGATATGGTATTGATGATAGGAAAAGTACCAGTATTAGGTACATCCTTAGTACTCGTATGTGTATGATGCATACTAGTGTATGGTGCATACTAAGTCCGTACTTTTATTATTATACACGAATCTATAAAAACACAATTTTTTTCTTCTCTTTTTGTTCGTACTATTTTAATCTTTTTTGGTGGTTAAGAGAAGTAAAAAGTCAAATTTATATATTCTTGTCTGTCTGAATTACAACTCTGCAATTGACAAATTTCAGTTCTGGAATTGTCAAATTCCAACTTTTGACGATGGACACTAGACAAATTCTGAGACAATTAGATAAACAATAGTACCATAATTCTTTTGTTATTTTTTAATTATATTTTAAAAAAGTTATACTAATGTATATTTACTGTAGTTTTTCTAAAATGTCATATGCCACATAATATTGGTATTGAGAATGTACTTGAACCTAGACAACAAATGTTTATGGTGATGATAAATGAAAAAAAAAAAATAGAGAAAGAAGGAAGAAAGTACTATGTTTTATATTTTAATTTTAATCTCAAATTTGATTAGTGATGATAATGAATGTGTAAATGATGATGATGATGATAATGTTATAGATAATGAACTTTGAAGCTAGTACATGGTTTTATGCAGAGTACCAATATTAAGTACATACTTGATAATGGACTAATGGCATGCGTATGATAGACTGCAAGTGCATAATTTACACCAAAAATAGTAAAATATCATTCTATCGAGGACTAGTTGATTATCGATTTTGTTTTTTCTGTTTGGTTAACTAAAAGGGAAACAGTGTATTATCGTTTAGTTATTTTGATTATTTAGAATTTTAATAAAAACAAACTCTACGATTATTATTCTTATTTAATGCAAATAATATAAAACATCTGCAGTATTATATTTGTGAGAGTTTCAAATTGAGGCGATGTCAGGGTCCTCGTTTAGCATAACGTCGCCCGAGCGACATCTTCATAAAACACGAGGGCTCGCCCCTGGGACATAAGATATGTATAATATCGTTACCTTCCCCTTAGTCATATCACGACTCCCTTAAAAATAGGTAGTCAACAGTCTCCTCCAATCAAAGAGAAACGATTACTGCTTCTAAGGGTTTTCTAAACCCTAGGACCCAAGAGTCCCTATAAATACTTCTCCTTCTAACAAGAGAAATGAGAGATCATAACATAGACAAAACACTAATTATACCATAAGAACAACGCTTATGTATAGAGCATCTCACCTCACATGAGATGGACTCTCATACCACCATAACCACCATCATACAAGACCTCTCGCTATCGCGAACAAACTCTAATTGTTATAAATCTACTAAGATCTTTGAGTATCCTTTACTCTTGTAGAGATACCACACACACATGTACTTTTTAACAAGTACAACATCATTCTTACTCTGTTATGAGGATTTCAACCTTTACATATTTTATATAAAAAAGCGTAGATTATATCTCATTTCAAAGTATATAATAATATGTTAGATCACCAAACCACTTACTTTTATGGTTGGTTTAGTGATAAGATTCGTTAAGAAAAGTTATTTGTGAAGAAAAAATAAAACTTTCTTAATTAAATCAAAACTATTATCATGTGTTGGTTTAACCATATCAACCTTTACGTTTCACTCCATCGACTAATATCATATATCGTCTCTATTTTCATAGTGACATTCATAAAATTCTTAAAGGTTAGAGCAATAACTTAACTATTTATGACAAAAATTAAAATTAAGAATTACAATAGGTCTAACATTTAGATTGTCCTCATAATCCTAAATAAAAGTCTACAAACCCATAGACATGACGAAATGCATTTCATTGGTCACCATAATTCATCTGAGTGTAATGACCATTACGAATTACTGTAATTTCCACCGCTTCTTTGCATTTCATGTTTCATTCTTCCTCGGATTCTCAGAGACATCATGATATCTTGCTTGTTTAGCTTTAATCACTTGAATATAACATTAAAACTTCTTCATTTTCTCTATGTTTTTAAAATAAAACAAAAACTACAAATGGTAGTAAAACCATAATGAAACATAGTAGAAATAGTAAATTTAATGACAAAATTAAATAGTAAAGAATAATAAATACTAGACTTATGAAACTCCTTTCCTCCATGCATAAATCATTTCTTATCCTCAAGTAACTTTCATAAATGGATCAAGCATTTTTCAATTGAATTGATGTTGAAAAGAAAATGAAAAAGAAGTGAATAGTGGTGGCTTATACTATTCAATCTAATACTTCACTTCTAATACCTCTTTTATTGGAACTATGTTTTTTTGTTTTGTTTTGACGGGATTATTGGAACTATGTTCATAAAGACATTGAATGTGAAAACCGTTTCTACTTATAATTACCAAAAATGAAAATTAATGATAAATATAATCTTGAAAATGCAATATAATCTCAAGTAAATTATATTGAAAAATATATAATATATTAAATATTAAATTAAATTATACATTAAATTAGTTAAATGCATGATATAAGAGTTTGTAATTTAGTGGGTAAAGTGTTTGTTTTCTATTATGAAAGTTGTAGGTTTGACTCCTATCTAACACGTTTATAATTTTATATTTTTTATATTTATATAAAAAATTATTTCATATATTTTTTATTCATTCACACAATATATATATATATATATTTTTCAATATAATTTACTTGAGATTATATTGTGTGAATGAATAAAAAATATATGAAATAATTTTTTATATAAATATAAAAAATATAAAATTATAAATGTGTCAGATAGGAGTCAAACCTACAACTTTCATAATAGAAAACAAACACTTTACCCACTAAATTACAAACTCTTATATCATGCATTTAATTAATTTAATGTATAATTTAATTTAATATTTAATATATTATATATTTTTCAATATAATTTACTTGAGATTATATTGCATTTTCAAGATTATATTTATCATTAATTTTCATTTTTGGTAATTATAAGTAGAAACGGTTTTCACATTCAATGTCTTTATGAACATAGTTCCAATAATCCCGTCAAAACAAAACAAAAAAACATAGTTCCAATAAAAGAGATATTAGAAGTGAAGTATTAGATTGAATAGTATAAGCCACCACTATTCACTTCTTTTTCATTTTCTTTTCAACATCAATTCAATTGAAAAATGCTTGATCCATTTATGAAAGTTACTTGAGGATAAGAAATGATTTATGCATGGAGGTAAGGAGTTTCATAAGTCTAGTATTTATTATTCTTTATTGTTTAATTTTGTCATTAAATTTACTATTTCTACTATGTTTCATTATGGTTTTACTACCATTCGTAGTTTTTGTTTTATTTTAAAAACATTGAGAAGAATGAAGAAGTTTTAATGTTATATTCAAGTGATTAAAGCTAAACAAGTAAGATATCATGACGTCTCTGAGAATCCGAGGAAGAATGAAACATGAAATGCAAAGAAGCGGTGGAAATTACAGTAATTCGTAATGGCCATTACACTCAGA